AGAGAGAGAGAGAGAGAGAGAGGAGGGGAGAGGGGAGAAGAAAAAACGAAATAAAATAAAATTTGGTATTCAGGCTGGCCACGCGGCTTGCCCGGGTTTCGACGCCATTACCGGGTATACGCCGCAGCTCGTTTTTTGAAGTTTACAGAAGACTGCAGGGGAAACACGCCAGGCCGTCAGCTGTACATTCGAAAACTACGTGCCCGGTGCATAAATCGCGCGTCAGCCTCTCCTCGAGTTTTCAATAAATTCTGTAGCCCCGGTATTCGTTTTCGAACAATGCTTCATGAATATTCGATCAGCATCGGTACCAGTAAATTACGAGCAAACGAGCGCAACGTTGATCGAAACAAATTCATTATCGCGCAAGGGGACCAAGCCGTGGCGGAGGGCCGATAAATTCGCGAGCAAGCAACGGCGAAAAATTTCCGTATCGATCGTTCCGAATCGTTTCGATTCAAAACATCGCGACGCGATATTTGTTCCTACGGGATATATTTTTTTTTCTCCCCCTCCTCCTTTTTTTTCTTCCTTCTTCCTCCCTCCGTCCTCCCCTCTCCTCCTTTTTATTATTCGTTTTTCGTGCGACGAGGTTAGAATAAAGGGAAACATCGGAAACGCTTTAGCTTGGCTAAAACGCGAATTGACCGGCTGTGTATATATATATATATATATTTATATATATATATCGAACGTACGTATATCCCGGAAATGAGAGAAACTTTGATGTTTGTTATTTACATTTACTTTGTTATTTTATCGCCGGTTCACCAGTGAATACATACGCTCTTCTCCTTCCCCCTCCGATATTTAAATATTTGCCGACGCGTTGGCATTTTTCAATCGTTGAGGAACCGGTTACAGCTTATTTCCGGGACGATACACCGGGATGAAGGTTAATTAACGAATTCGCGCACGATGATGATGGCGGGTGGGTGGGTAGGTTAATTAGAGAGAGGGCCGGCGATGAAAAATTTTCTCGAAGGGGAAACAGGTTGAAACCTGGGAAGGGAAATTTCGCGACACAAAAGCCGGCCGCGCTTCCGCTTTTTTTTCCCCCTCCCTTTGTTTCGACTCTTTTCTCCTTTTGTTCGATCCACCGTCGCCATCGTCTACAAAAACACACCCGTTTGAAGTTTACCTAAAGAACGACTAGCAGAAATACGGTTCACCGAATAACCGTTGGACTCTCGCGCGTCAGCTGCACCTTCGGCAAATTCCGTCGCGTCCTCTATAAAATTCCCTCGTCTTCGACGCCTCCGTCTATTTATCCTCGATCGCTTGGAAAGACATAACTTTTCCATCATCCCTTCTCTCGATGTGAAATTTCTGATCCAACAGGATGTAACGCGCGCTCGAATTTTCGTTACCTGGCGTATTTCAGGCTACGTTTAGGGGCAATGTTTATTAGCTCGATATAGGTTGTTCCGTTGTTGGAAAAGAAGAACGCGCTTTGAGAAATTGATCGATTCGCGTAGAAAAAAAATTTCTGAAAAAAAAGAAAAAGAAAGGAAAAACGAAAGAATACAGAATACATTATCCATAAATCATCGGGCAGTTGTTAAAAGTATAAATAATCGTTTGGTATATTTTTTTACACAATCTTTTGAAATTGATTTGAAATTGATTAACACGGATTATTTATTTACTGATCCTTTTTGTAATGTAAGGATGCGTGAATTATTCTTTTCCCCCTCCCCCCCCCCAATAATATTCATTGTTATTGACGTTTAGAAGGAATTGAATATATAGTTGTTTCAAATACAGTAGTTAGTTAATATTACATTTACAATCATAATGTTTATTTATCGATATTCCGAAATATCATGGTAAAATTCCATTTATACGAACTCGTGGTTGGCAGAGACAAGCAATGTATGATCCACTCAATAGTAATAATTCATCCAATTAAATTTCATATCGAACCTTCTTTTCCTTACTTCGATTCTTTACTTCTCCTCTCCTTTCTTCGCGTCTCGTTTCATTTTTTTTTTTTTTGTAACCCGTAACACGATCACCTCGAAAAGAACACTCTTCGAACTCTCTCTCGGCCCGATCAAGGGCTCGATTAAAATTCGCGTTACTGAAATTTCACTCGTACGAAACGGTGTTCCATCGGTGATTCATAGAATCCACGTATAAAACCGCGAAAAGCGGCGTGAAAAATGGAGGCCCGAAAATGGAGTGGGACCGACGCATCCCTTTTTCGCATCGATCGTTGAAAAGTGCATCAACTGGAGCGCGAGCTGTCGTCGCGGCAAAGTAAACGGTGGCTGGATTGAACTGTATGGAGAGAGGGGAAGGGGGAGGATGGCGAAACGATGGGATGATTCGAGATTCCCGCGGGCGGTTCGATCGAAGGGATATATATATCCCCTTCCCGCTTTGAGGCGAACTTTTCAATTTGCCTTGAAAAGTCCCGGCCCGGGCTAATGCCCCTAATCAATATACGCGACAAGCCAACCCAGCCCGGGTTGTCTCCATTTCCGACCGGTAATACTTGTAAACCGCGCCTCGCGCGTCTCTGCCAACCCCCTCCTCGATCCCCGAAGGAGTCGCAACTCTCGCAACTCTCTTCGAACTCGATTTCACCTGGAACGAATTACTTGCCTTGGAGTGATGGGTTGGTGAGTTTGGAGGGAGGGATCGGGGCGGAAGCGATTAATAGAAGAAAAATTTCGGTTCCGTGGTGGGGAGGGAAGCGACGGTGAAACGACGCGCGCGCGATCGATTCGAAATCCGATTACGAAGGGACATGGAGGGAGGGGGATGTAGTTTGATCGTGGTTGAATTACAGTTTCGGTATCGAGATAAAGAGGAGAGGGCGAGACTATTTATATTTGCACGCGGTTGCAATTTGAGGAGAATATCGATGACCGGGCGGCGTTGATACGTAACACCTCGATTATTCTATTATCGTTGATTTGATCGTTGATTTATTATTTATCGTCGATTAATAATAGAAAGAAATTTATAATACGACCCGATAAATATTGTACAACTATAGGATAGGATAGATTCGTACGATAGGAAGTCCGTCCCGCATAGGGATGCGTTGTTGTATTATAGTCGGAATAACGCAGTGTCAATTCAGAACGCGAGAGTTTGGATTCAGAGAGCTAGAGTTCGCTTACTCGGGTATTGTGGATGAGATCGAAATGGAATTTTATCGATGGGGTCGATTTGAAAGAATTAACAGGAAAGAAGAAAGAAACTGTCTAAAAACGATTATCTAGTTGATCGAAATAATTTTTAGATTATTAGAAAAAAAAAAAAAGAAAAATCTCTAATATCTATTTTAATTCCGTTTATTCGCTTTCCCGTCTTTCCCGTTAGGGTGTGAGTGATATTTTGGATTTTCAGTGAATTCAATTTTCAATTTTTTTTTCAGGACAAAGAGTGGTCGAGATATCGTTTAATCCGGTCGAATCGATCCGCTGGCCATTAGTCATTGTTGTTTCGTAAAAAGCGATTCAAAATTGTCGGACGATGCAACAGAGCTCGAATTGTCGATAAGGTCGAAAAGCAGGACGTCAGGGTGGCGCGTTTTGAGGGAGATTGATGAGGGTTCCGCGGTCACCGGTACGTGCCAGGTTAAATCGTAGCCTTGGTGGGGATTCTTGCTTTGGTATCGAGGGGTTGAGGCCAGTCTGATGCACACGCACCCTTTCTGTCCACCTCTCGTTAACACCGATTTATTCGTTGCTCCGTGTTCTTTCCCGCCGGGTCAAATAACCATTTCGCTCTCAAACGTGCTAACCAAATACCGTCTCGACCGGAATTCGACCTCTCGTCTTTTTCGCAAATGTAAATTATACGTACGAAAATTCCGTCCGTCTTTTTATTTTATCAATACAATTGTTGAGATTATCGAGTTATATATTTTAACGATAGAATACGAGCGAATACGAGTTCAGTTAATTCTTTTAAAGCATTGAATATTATTATAACAATATACGAAATTTATATTATTGGTGAATTAAAAGAAATAACAGGCTGAGCTTAATAATTTCAAATTCAATAAATAATAAATATTGCGAATATTTTATATAGTAGTTTTATATTTTCCAATAAACGACATAAATGAATATGTTTTAGGATATATCATTGAAAAGTGGGAAAATTCTGAATAGTTTATACATATAGAATAACGATATGATATCTTGTTGACATGACGTTTTGTAAAACGAATTCTTTTTTTACTCAGATATCAATTTGTCAAGAAAACACGAAGAAACTTTTACATATAATCATATTTATACGTAATTAAATCCGTATACGTAATAAAATTATTGATATTCGCAATTTATTTGTTATTATTATCAAAATCTCTCGAACAATACGTATTGTAATTTTCATTTTGAAAATTACATACATACATTATATGTATTATATACACGCACAAGAGAGAATCGGAATCGGAAAGGATATCCGAAGCGTATAGGAAAAGGAAATGTTTCGACTAAAAAGGACCATTTTTTCCCCTGTTTCCGCCCCCGTCTGTTATTCACGGAATAATCCGACAGAATTTTAATCTCACCCCCCCGTCTTAGGTCGCGGGGTTGGTTCAATCCAACAAATTCATTCGGCCGCGCCGCGATCGAACTCTCGCGAATCTCGCGAAATTACTTGCCCGTCTTTCGACCGACGTGATTTCCCTTCATCGTGAAAAAATTGTTTCCAACAGTGGTGGAGATCTCGTTAAAAAAGTTGGATGTTAAAAAGTTGGCTCGAGGATTCGGTCGATCCGCGAGCCATCCCCCTTCCCATCCCCATCTTGGAGGTGGGTAACGGTGATTATTCTTAAATATTAATCTTGCCTACTAATCCGCGTTATTAACGAGAGTTGACCTGAACGTGGAATGGAACAACTTTGTAATAAGAGTATCCTTTACGACGGACCTAAATCCCGTTTATGCTAAAGCGGTTAAGTCGCGACATCGGTGTAACTCGATATCGTTTGTTAAATTAGTTCCCGGAATTAATTTCTCCCCCCCCCCTCCCATCCCCTCCCCCCTCCCCGATTTTAATCCGTCCCACTCGGACAAGCGGGTTGACCAGTGTTAAAATAAGACAACCGGGGAACAATATTTGTTTTCAATATCGGTTGCGAGCGACAGCTAAAATTGTTACGCTCGGCGTAGCAAGCGTATGGAATTTTTTTTTTTGAATATTTATTAGGGTGGAACGAAAAAAGATAAAAGCGGTATGCACGATTATTTTCTTACTTTCTTACTGGTAGATGAAACAAAATTTGCAAATTCAATTTTTTTAAATTTCCCACGCAGGAGAGTTTTTATTTTTTTTTACTTCTTTTTCATGAATGAAATCGTAACGATGAGATTTTATTATAAATCTTTTCAAGGAAAAAAAAAAAAAAAAAGAAAGAGCATCAAAAAATATCTTCAACAAACTCGAAGAACATCCCAAGATCTTCGATAGTATCGATTGATAAAAATCGATCGAATCAATTGATGTTTTAAGTCGAGATATAAAAAAAAAAAAAAAAAAAGAAAAGAAAGAGAAATATATACTCACATCTAACGTCGAACCTGACTTCCGTGCTCGACGACATAGTCGGGTTGTCATAGGCCGGATGAATGGCCACGCATCGAATCGGCTGCCCATAGCGCGATCTGTCCGCCATGATCTCGCAGACACTGTAGGTCGCCCAGGTACGAGGATTATCTATCTCCGTTGAATTCACCTGCGGCCTCAAAGTCCTCACTTCGGTCTCGCCCACGTACCTGCGAGCATTTCACCCGAAAATTTGCATTTCCAATGCTTGCTTCGTGACAACTCTGCGCGCAGTGAAATCACACGGACACACCGAACGAACCACCCTTCCTTCTCGACTCTCTTCTCCCTCTCTGCCTCTCCTCTCTACTCTCCTCGCGATCCCTCTTCCTTCTCTACGAGATCAAAAATTGAAACGTGTAATCGCCGCCTCGAGTTTGCTTTCAGTCATTCTGGAATTTCCGACCGCCTCCGAAGATTTCATCGTTCCGAAAACTATGTCTCGGTGGTGGAACAAGAGATTTTCTGCGCTGGAGAAGAAGGATGGACGGGGACGGATCGGTTATCGGGCTGATAACACGCGGCGTGTCGATGGTTACTTCGATGAACAACCGTAGGGAAACGCGCGGAAAATGTGAGTGAAATTTCTGGCCAAGAAACGGTGGTTGCTCGAAATGGCGGAGAAACGGTGGAAGGGGATGCGTATATGTTACCGCGGATTTGCACGTAAGACAAGAGGAACGAGTGCAATCAATTCTTCCGGTTAAAGAAGAACATTGTAAGCTTCATCTCGTTACATTAGTCTCGTTTCTTTGATCCCTCGCTATCGCTTTCCTCTTCTCTTTTGCAAAACTATTTAAATATTCCTCGCGGAAAGATATAATATTTTTGCTCATAAATTGTATTTTATATATATATATATATATAACGTGACAGAGGATTACGAACAGTCGGGGGGGGGTTAACGTTCGATTGCTTTTCAAAGTCGTTGTTCTCGCGAACAAAGCTACGACAACTATTCGTTTCGATCGATCGCGACGACGAGTGTCATTTAACAAACAAAGTACGCGTAAATTACAAGTATCGGTAAATTAAAGAGAAAGCTATGTTTGCTTCTTTGATAAATTTCTATATCGATTCTATCTCGACGCGATATTTCTTCATAAGAAATTAATGAATACGCGGTATCGATACAAAAAGTATCGGTAATAAATAATAATAAATAAATGGAGGCTTAGCGATGATCGAGAATCGTTCGAATTCGCGCATACTTGAGCGTGCCCAACGTCGATTGGACTAATTTGCAACGACAAGGAGGGACAATTGCGGAAAAGAGGAAATCTGTCGCGTCATTCGATCCAAGTCGATTTCGAACCGACGAAAGACTCGCATCGTTTCCTGGACCGATCAACTCGTTTCTTACGCTCGATGTTCGAATCCATTCTCGTTTCGTTCGATCCCGCGCTTCCTGTTGTTGTGTTTCTCTACGCCTCTGGGGTGCAAGCGAACCCCGATAGCCTCTTAACTTCGTCTAGATACCGGCTGGAATGGATCATGATTATTCATGGGCGAGCGAGGCCTGCCACAGCCGGGATGCAACGCCAAGATCCACAGGGCGCATTACGAGTCGGGATGTTCGCGCAGGGAGAACTTAACTGGCTACTCGAACAAACGAGACTGTACCGCGACTCCTTCCCTTTTGAAATAATAGCAGCAACGGAACGGAGGGAAAAAACACTCTCCAATTTGTTTTTACGATTGCGACAAAGCGACTTGGAAGAAATTCAATTTAAAAATTAGATTCAATCCTTTTCGCGTTCCCTTCCAACCCCTTGCTCGCTCGATCGCGACTCTCCCCTTCGCTCTAACTCCACGTTGCTGCGAACGATGCTTGGAAACTCTGTGCAATTACGGTGGTAATCGTTCGATTACCGAGGAGACGTCGTCGCCGTGGCGTGAAAGACACGACTGGAATTAAGTTGTCCCAAAGTCCGCGAGACGAAATCAACTCGCGCCGAGCTAATCGAATCAATCCCGAAAAGGAGCAGCAGCGTTGCTCTCGGCCCGATGATTGAACGCGAGCACGAACGGCTTGGAAAACGGGCGCAATCTAAAAGCATTCAAACCTCTCCCTTGGAAACCAATGTTATTACACGGATCCTTTCCTAGATAGATAGGTAGGTAGGTAGGTAGCTACTCCTAGTTTCAATTTCCTGCCTTGACCTTTTGCGATCCTCTTTCGTCTCGCGCGATTCGTTGTTGGAGATATCCGTGCCACGAATTCGAATTGAACCGAATGGGGATGACGTTCTCTTTTTTTTCTTTTCTCTTTCTCTATTTTCACCGCTGATGAGATCGATGGCTGTTTTTGGTTCGTTCGATCGAGGAGTTCGATGGAGGAGAAAAAGGCCGAGACGAGGAGGGAGTCGTCGGGTGGTTACGTTACGTAGTAAGTGGTAACGGAATCTACGGTGCAACAATTACGAACCATTTAATTAGAGGCGAAGGATTCCCATACCGCGCTCTGCAAGTGAGCGCGGCGATCTCACCTGCTCGGGCTGTCACGTTGCTGCCGGGTAGAATTAGACGATCCGCGTACTCTATCTGCGGTCGCTGAGGGCTGACTGGAATGAGAAAATTAGCAGAGGTTAATTTGGCCGTCGCGCGGCTGGATATTCGGAGACACGCGCCCCAACGTTTCTCTGGACGTCGCTCGTTATAATTACGTTATCGTTTAACCGCGTCTCTCCCCTGATTACCTTTGCCAGATCCATCGATCTATCGTCCGCGACAATTTCCACGATCCAACCGCTTGTTTCAACCGCTTCTTAAATCTATCCACAATTTCCAATTTATATATACGTTTGTTAATGAACGACAAACATATCCGTCCAAGTTGAATATTATCTCGAGATTCGATTAAACTCTTTTGTCTTTAGGAAAATTATTAGGAAAATTATTAGGAAAGATGCGAGTTTTAAAAACTTGTTCTTTAAAATGAATGTTCGAAGTTGTAGCTCGCAAACTCTGAAACAGTCGCAATTCTTGGAAAAAAATGCACTTTCAAGAAAAAATGTAGATCAGCTCTCGTAATCTCTGCGTTGTATCAAGATTACGAAACTTTAATTTCTTATATCTCGAAATCGTGGAATCGGGATGAATACAAAAAAAAAAAAAAATGACGATAATTTTTAATCCCTTCTCAGGGGATAATTTTTGCAATTTTTTTCCCTTCAGTATCTAGACTTGAAGAAGCGTCTATAAAAAATTTTCGATCGCTTCCAATCCAATATTTGAGTAGCGAAAATGGATGAATCGTTAAACCGCGAGCTTAACGGTATAACGCGAGCATCGCATCCCGTAAAATGAGTTTTCTTAAGTAAGGTCGTAACCGGTGTTGGAGAAATAATACCATTTTGATCGTGAGCGGGATATATATCCCGCATCGGCCCAGTTTCTAGTAACTTGGCTATTGTCTTGTCGCGATACACTCCTCGTCCCTAGACACGCGGGTAGCGCGTTAATTTCGTCACAATGGGAATAACGACGATGAAAAGGGACGAGCGCGGGTTCGTCGATGACCGGGCTAGTTTCACAGGCGGACGACAATGCACACTCGAATGGAAATGGGGCTGCGCGCAAATGGATGGAATCCCGCGCGAGATGTTTAACGCGTTGATTAGCGTACGCCGCTTTTCATCGAATCGGCGCTGTTAAGGTTGAAGTTGAAGGTTTACCTCTGACAACGAGCCGGGCCGGTTCGGATGCAAGCGCGTCCTGCGTGGTGAAATCGCTGGCTGTGACCTGGCACTGCCACAGACCGTCGTCGAACTCTAAAGTGGCCGATCTCACCCACAAAGAACAGTCGCCGATGTCTGGCCGTCCTACCCACTCGTATTTCTTCAAGTGCATCCCGATCGGCTGAAACAATTCGTTGCGAAATCAATTGGCCGTCGTTATCCCGACTCGATCTGTCCGACCGTGTACAATCTCGTTTCTTCGATGAAATATCTCGAGCGACTCTTCGAAGTTTCGTACAAGTTGGAGGGGGATCATTATCGTGAAACGCGATTCCAGGCTTGGGAGGGAAGCGAAACGAGGGCAAAGCGTGGTAAATCGAGGACGGAGAGTGGCACCAACAGATTCCATAGACAATGGCAGGCCACGTTGTATGTCAGCGTTTTGCCGCGATCGTTTAATCGACGAGCGAAGGGACTTCGATCGTTCCTCGTTACCGGAATCCTCTCAAATCCCGCCACGACTCTCACCTTTCTCTCTCTCTCTCTCTCTCTC